GGCAGCCTGTTTGGGAGGGGTTCAGGCAGCTGAGGAGAAATGAAGGATTTGGGCACTATATTTAAAAAAAGAGACAGGGTGAAAGATACTCGGTTTGGGTTCCTCCTGTGGAAAAGCATGTGGGAAAATGAGAGAGCCAGGAAATGGAGTACACAATAATGACGGAAGGGTGGTCTACCAAGGCCTGAGGTCAGAGCTGGGAAAGGGGGAGATGGTGCACGGTTTGCTCAGTTTTCTAAACAGGTATAGGGGTGGTACAAGGGAGATGCTGACCAGCTGTTCCAAGTCTTCAGCTAATAAAACCAGGAAAAGGCTTCCACTAGAACAGAACAAGTTCAGAGTGGCTGGGGAAAAAAAAGGAACTGAGTTTCAGATGTTTGGAGGCTGCATCAAATGCCAGGGGAGGCGGGGAGCTCTCTGCCCATAAGCAGAGCTGCACTTGGGACTGAATGTGGGCTTTGGGATATGTTACAGGGTCAGGAATACATCACTAAATTTGGCCCAAATCACTTAAAGGGCACTTGCTTCTTGCTGGGCCAGTAATATTAGGTCACCGAGGGGTGGCCAGAAATGCAAACTTTGGGTAGTGCATCAGACCGACTGCCTCAGAATCTGCATTTTTAACAAGGTTCCCAGGTAAAATGGGTCTTTTCCTTCTGTAGAGGACTATGCTACCCACAATTAAATGCAGTAGTTAACATTCTTAATGTAATTATGAAAAACCTTTATCACAGTGCAGCTGACAGAAAGCTGTTTGGTGATCACATTTTCCTTCTCTGTTTTGCAAATATTAGTTTAACTGCCTTCCTGAACATTTCTAAAGACATACATTGTAAGTTGTTTTTACAAACATCAGAAACTCAGATTTACAAGGTTCTTGCAGAGGCAAAGAAACTGATTTTCAGAACTGCCCTCCTCTTACAGCTAATTCTTGTATAAATATTATGACAAGTACAAAATCAGTAATGATGTGTGCAGTAAAACAGCAGAAGATATTATACACAAGTGCTGATTCAAGTGTGGCCTCAGCAGAGGCATCAGTGAGAGAGAAGCCGCGGACGGAAATCAGGTCTGGACTTCTGGTGTAGGGCTGTGTGCCGTCCAGCATTCTCCCTGGGCCGCGGTTTCCTCATTGTGAGATGAAGAACTGTGGGTTTTTTTTTAGGGCTCCCACATCTTCAGTATTTTAAGTTTCTATGAGTTATAGTACCCTCAGCAAGAGCATGGGGAACCTGATTTCCCTTAACGCATTGCACGTAACCCTCCCTCTGCTTGTCGAACCACCGGTGCAAGGCCAGGCTGCTGGAAACCAGTGTCTAAACACCAAACAGATGAATGGAAATACCCTCACTGAGAGCAGGCAGGTGTGGGCACTAGAGGCCAGCAGAATGAGCAGCTCCCCCTCCCAGCAAACAGCTGCAGCTCAGCCAGCTGCTCACGGATCAGAGAAGTGCAGGCTGCTCACCCACGTGCACTTATGTGTGAAGTACGGCAAATCTAAAAACAGTCTGAGCGCAGCCACAGAGGTTACTACTGTCAAGGGCTTTCTACTCAACTGTCAGGATGATAGGAAGGGGAGTCACTATAGGAACAGAAAAATGAGCACATAGAAAAAGTATTCTGAAGTTGACAGGAAAAGTTTAGATTTAATAAAACATGCATTTTTAATTCTTGTCTCTCTGATTTCAAATAGTTCAATTATGTGGAGGTAATAAAATTAGAATTTTGGTAAAATTTTACTAAAACAAATATTCTTTCAGTTTGGGGTTCTAGAACCGTAAGGGAGTAATTGCTAACCTGTCCATGTTATTACCTCTACAATTAAAAGACTTTTTCAACATGTGCCTTTATGTCATTTTTAACTGAGAGGCTTTACTCTGTATTTGTTGTATCAATTAAAAAATAACCTTGGACTGTTCTTGACATTTTAAGATATCACTGCATGTCTGATGAAAACGTATGGTGATAGCAAGAAAAGCACCTGGTGAAAATAATTAACGTTAGGACAGGACAAGTGTCTGAGGCAGTTCTCACAGCTACAGGCTCAGTGGGGCTCATGTCAGGCATACAGAACAGACATACTCGGTTCTGAGAAAGCTATTCTTGGGCAAAGAGCTCATACAGCTGATCTGAAGCCTGGCATATTCAAAATTCCAGGATCTTTTTGCATCACTTGATAAAGGACTATTCAGGTAGGTGTTGGGAAATGTGGTATTGGTTCCAGAAATTCTACTGCCTGGTTGTGGGGCACTAGGTAAGGCATAATTCACCTCCCTGGTCACGTGTGGACTGGATGAGTGTCTCAGGGGCTTCCCTGGGAAGGGACAGTTAAGAGTTAGGAGGAAAGAGGAGAGGATTTGTGTTGATGCCCAGCTTTGGGTCATGCCCTGTGCTGGGCTTTACAAATATGTTAGTCTTGGCCACAAACTAGCAAGATGGATATCTATATCTCCACCTCATATGTGAAGACACAGTCATAAACAAGCTGAGCTAAGAGGTCACAAAGCCTGGTTTCAACCCTGTGTCTGGTGCCGTGTGAGGCTGTCTCTTCCTAGATGCCCCTCCAGCTGCTCACAGCTGACTCCTGCCTGCAGCACAGAGACCCAGGTGCTAGTTACATGCACTGCAGCCATCTGCGGATGTGCAGGGACTGGTGTTTTCCAAGCAGAGAAGATCAGGTTCCTTGAAAAACTCCTCCAGAATCTTCCTCTCATTCAGGTGGCGACTCTTAGTGGTTATTTTATAGCACATACATACTAGTGTGCCACTTAATACTATATCATGAGCAGCTCCTCATTTAATTGTTATAAATACTGCATTACTATATTAAAATCACTAATAGGCTATTCAATTCCAATTTTATACTGCTTTAATAGTCAGGACAAAGAGAAAACCTTCTGAAAAAACTACTAGGGTATTAAAGTAATTTTTAAAGGGGATATAGGAAGTCAAAAAGTAAATCAAGAGCTTCACCTTAATCCCTTTTCCTCAAATTTTTGCTTAGATTCAAAATTGTCTATAACACAGGAACCACCCTTTAATAGACCAGTGTTGTAATATGCAGATGAAATGATGCATTTGTAGGCTCTGGGGTCAGGAATGGTGTGTAGCATCACCCAACTCCACTTTAAAAATGTGACCATGCTATTGACATGGCAAAAAGAAGCTATATGAAGGGAGTCTGGCTGAAAGTGAAACACACACACAAAAACAAATTTAGTTTTGTGGCTAGTTGAAAATTCACAGCTGGTATGGGCTTTTCTTTAATTAAAGTGTTTCCCCTTCCCTGCAATGAGAAAATGCTCTTTGAGTGTGAAAAACCAAAATCAGAGCAAAAGCTGTTTGAAAGTTCAGAGGCTTAAGTAAAGCTGCTTTACAAGCTGCTATGTGGACCAAACACCTTGGAAATTTCCTAACAGGATTTTCTAGAGTTCCAGTAAATCTTTCTCTCAGTCACTTCTTTGTTCTACTTTGGTCAAAACCAAAATCAGGTGATACAAAGGTCATTCATGTAGTTAGTGAAGCAAAAAGTATATGTATGGGTGTGTGTACACACACATATGCATATACTTACCTTGAAATTAGAATTATATTTAAATAATTAACTATAATTATATATTAGTTATTTACATATAAACTATCTTTCATTACTTCTTTTTGATGTATTTTAAAGTATGATGCTTTAAGACAAGATTTATGTAAACTTAGTTATAAGCATATATGTAAACAGAGTTCTGAAGGAATGGGACCAGACATGATGGGGTAATATTTCTGACTGTGAGAAGAGATAGTACCCTTTTAATTGTCTGCCAGAGTTTCTCCTGCTGTTTCTTCTCTTGAGCCCTTGTTTCTGGGGGAAGGGCCAGTAGGGTAGAAATAAGGCTGAGGACAGTACAGGGCCCAGCCAGCTGCCAAAAGACACTGCCAGGCAGCCGGCCCCCAAGGCCCAGTATCTCTCCAAGTCTGTAAGATAACATTTGCTGCTGGCCAGACATCGGCTTTCTGGCCACATGCAACGGACCCATGCCTGAGCAGGCTGTGAGAGCACGGAGACAAAGGCAGAGAGTCCCCCTCGGTGAAGGCCCAGAGATGCGCCATGCTCAGGGCCACTGCCAGTGGGAAGGGGTGTGGGGGATTTGCTTTGGTTCCCCCTGACAGGTAGGATGCATCCTGACTTACTACAACATGTGGTATTGCTATTTCTCCACTCTCAGAGCAGCATGTTGGCTATTTCTGTTAGAGAACATGTCTTATTTTCCTAAATTGTTCCCAAACTACAGATGTGGGACGCTGGAGAATGGAGAAATAAAGGATGTCCGTAAGTGGGCTGAAAAATAGCAACAGTATGTGTTGTAAAAGTTTTGCAAGCAGCATGGAGTTACTGGAGCAATACTTCCACAATCCAGCAGAGACCATTTCTAATACAATGTAAAGAACTTTCACAAATGTAGAGTGTAATATCTGAAAGTTTTCCAATATGACAGATATATATTTAATTCACATGAAAACTGAAGTTCAAGCTAGGGCATTTCTTAGGATATTAAGTACTGTCAGCAATAAGACAAGGTCATGTGGTCCTGACATGCATTTCAAGCAGGTGGTTAAAAACATATATTTAAGAAAATAAAGAAAGCATTGTCAAACAACAGTCACATAAGTGACCCCAGACAGGCTGGCACAAACGCAGAGCTGACTTTCTGATCTTGGAAGCTCAACATTTTATTCTTGTTTGAGGTGGGGAGGTATTTATAAAGGGCATTGTAGCAGTTAAGAGCTGCAATCTCTGGTCAGACTGCTCCATTGTGAGTTGCTCCTCTAGGTTCTAGTGTCAGTTTTATTAATCTCTCTGTGCTTCAGTTTCCTCATCTGCACAACAAGGAGAGGACCAGCTCTTGCACCGGAGTGCTGGTGTGACAGGATTCACGTACAGGGCTAGCACCGGACCTGGGCTGCTGCTGTCATGGTGACCACTATTCCCAGGGCCAAAGCCCCTCACTCACCTAGATGAGTGTCCATCACCTTCGCGCAGTATTTGCACATGGCATCCAGGTCGTTCAACTGTCCTTGAAGGAAGGAAATTTGGGCTTCTAGTTCTTCTTCCTAAAATGAAGGGGTCAAGATATGGACATTTTTAAAAAACTTCAAATAAAATCCCCAAAGTTCTCCAAATGATCTAGACTGTTTTGAAGAGGCACAATATCATTTCAGTCTTAGACAAAAGAGAAGAAAAGAACAAATAAACAAGAGCTAACCCTCCCCCACCACCCCGCACCACCAGCAGAACAGAGAAAGGGTCAATGGAAGTTTAAATAATCTGGACTTTTCCTGATTACATGCTAACTTTGGGCCACATGACCCTGACACTCACACACCCTTGTAGCTACTGAGCTACACACACTGGGAGAGTAGATTTATTTCAGTGGTCCCCGTTCCTTAGGCGCTGGGACAAAACCGTTACATTCTCCCACACAGTCGGCCAAACAAAGACAATGATAAACCGTGAGGTTTCCCAAAGCACTTGGAGAAGTTTTGCCTCCATAGTCCATAAATAGCTGCTCTTAACACCTCCTCTTACAATAAGACACCAAAGCAATTTATTTATTTGATTGTTTCTGGAAAAAAATACTCTGAGTTGAGGTAATTATCTCAATGGTAAAAGACAATCTATCTGTAAGGAAAGGATGAAGTCCATTTTTTTGTAAGAAAAAAAATCATTCATGCAAAAAATATCCCAAGGAAATTTAGAAGATCAAGGGAGTTTTTCCTCAGAGAAAGAGAAAAATCCTCGTAGGATATTCTGAACCAAGTTAGATAGAATACAAAGAAAGGATGTTGCCAGAGCTGGAACAGGCTAAAAGCTGATTTGCCAGTCTTAGATTCTTGTTCTTTTACAATAGAATCCTCTGTGTCATTAAAAAGAAGGCAAAAGAAACCTACTGAGACATGCTTTTGCTTGGACTGAGTATGGTGTGACTTCCAGATGGGAACGCACAGTTGCTAAGGTTACCTGTAGGTACACTGCATTTCAGCGGTACACACAGGCAGGGCCAAGAAGTGTTGCTTGTAGCCACTGTGTGGAGAATGAGCCCTGAGGAGTGGGCATGCAAATGCCTGACACTGAATAGCAGTGGCTCTAAAAACAAATTATTGTGACGTGCCCACTGTCTGATTACACAAGCACCAGCCACGTTCTTTACACGTCCCACAGAGTGTGGCAGAGAACTGCGTAGGGACAAACACCGCAGAAACGGCTCTGCCAAGGAATGACTACAGGGGCCTGTGCGTAGGAGGTATTACCTTCCTAACTCTTCCGCTGGAGTTTAAGGTGGAAAAGGTGATGTTTTGGTGCATTTTTCTTACCCTTTTGCTCCTTTGTTTCTACACAGGCTCGAATTCCCCCCTTCTAGCAGGACGCCACAGGAATGAGAGGAGGAGGCTTCAGGGTCTGGTCAGTCTCCAAACACGGCCTCCATCCCTTCCTTCCCCCCTGTAATGCACATGCTGTCCCTCTCCTCAAGAGGCAGTATCTATGTGCCTGCCCTTGAGCTGGTCTGGTCTTGTGACCTGCCTTGATCCAGAGAATGCAGCACACATCAGACTGTGCCAGGCTGGGGCTGGTGCAGGAGGCCTGCCCACCTCTGCTTGCTTCTGCTTTCTTTAGAGAAGGACAGCTACCGTGTTGTACAGAAGCTCAGGCTCGAATGACAAGATGAGAGAAGCACTGAGGTCCCCGACCTGTGCAGGAAGTCTTCCCGAGCCCTTCAGCCCAACCCATCTGAAGCCACCAAGTGAGTGACCCTGCCAGCATCACCAGGAGCAAAAGAGCCCAACCAGGCCTTGTCCAACTGCCCACGGGAACCAAGTGCCGGTGTTTTAAAGAGTGGAATTTTGGAGTGGTTTGCTATGCAGCGACTGATAAGTGAAACAGTGGTAGAATGGAAAGAACAGTAGTTTGGTATACGGTGTGAGGAAATTTGAGTTCTATTTCTGGTTCTGCCATCATCATAACTTAACATAACTTAAGTTAAGTAGCCTTAAGTAACCCTCTACCCAATCTGGGCCTAAATCCAGCTCTGGAGAAGGTAAAAGTCAGGCACTTTACTCCTAGGGAGCTTATGAGCATATAGTTGGAATAAGAAAGCTATATAAATTACTACAGTATGAGGCAGAGTACGTGGAAGTCTTACAGTGACATGAGAATAATTGCTCTGGGAGTCCTGGCCCCTGCCTCCCGGCCCCTATACTGAACAAGTCATCTTTCCAATGTGTTACAGAAACAGACATGATGGGAGGAGTCTAGGACCACCTGAGGTCAGAGCACGGCAGGCTTTTAAAAGAAGGGGACCCAGCTGTAGCCTGAGTTTCTCCTTGCATGTGGCTACCAACTGGGGTGCTGACAGCCAGAAAGGATGCACTGCCTCCTGGCATAAAAACATCTATTTACTCTATGTATTAGGTTAATTTGTATTAAGCAATCACTTTTTATTTATTTATTTTTTATTAAGGTATTATTGATACACACTCTTATGAAGGTTTCACATGAAAAACAATGCGGTTACCACATTCAACCTTATTATCAAGTCCCCACCCCATAGCCCATCACAGTCACTGCCCATTAGCGTAGTAAGATGCCACAGAGTCACTATGTGCCTTCTCTGTGGTACACTATCTTCCCCATGATCCATCTGCAACATGCCAATCATAATACCCTTTAATTCCCTTCTCCCTCCCTCCCCACCTGCCCTCCCCCACCCCTCCCCTTTGGTAACCACTAGTTCCTTCTTGGAGACTGTGAGACGGCTGCTGTTTTGTTCTTTCAGTTTTGCTTTGTTGTTATACTCCACAAATGAGGGAAATCATTTGGTAGTTGTCCCTACCTGGTTATTTCACTGGGCATAATACCCTCTAGCTTCATTCATGTTGTTGCAAATGGTAGGATTTGTTTCTTACTTATGGCTGAATAGCATTCCATTGTGTATATGTACCACCTCTTCTTTATCCATTCATCTACTAATGGACACTTAGGTTGATTCCATATCTTGGCTATTGTAAATAGTGCTGTGATAAACATAGGGGTGCATATGTCTTTTTGAATCTGAGAACTTGTATTCTTTGGGTAAATTCTAGGGTTGGAGTTCCCAAGTCAAATGGTATTTCTGTTTTGAGTTTTTGAGGAACCTCCATACTGCTTTCCACGATGGTTGAACTACTTTACATTCCCACCAGCAGTGTAGGAGGGTTCCCCTTTCTCTACATCCTCGCCACCATTTGTTGTTCTTAGTCTTTTTGATGCTGGTCACTAACTGGTGTGAGGTGATATCTCATTGTGGTTTTAATTTGCATTTCTCTGATGATTAGTGATGTGGAGCATCTTTTCATGTGCCTGTTGGCCATCTGAATTTCTTCTTTGGAGATCTGTCAATCACTTCTTTTAAAATGCAAAAGCCCTTGAGAGTTTTAGCTCCCAGGGGTCTCCTATCTAAATAGAATTACTTTATTCAGTTTGAGTTACTTAATTCAGGTTTTTTTTTTTTATGCTGGGAGGGAAGAAGAGCTGGAGAGGAGACACTTTAGAGGTGATGGGCCTGGCCTGTGGGTGGTAAGGTGCTGGGACAGGTGGAGGGAAGCACAGTGCAGAGAGGGTCTCTTCCTCAGAATATTGTACTGTGCTAGGAGGAGGATTATTTTAAATCTGATGTGATGAGCCTGGTGCCCTCTAAATTGTGCAGGGCAAATGTGTGTGGGAAGCCCCGAGACCATGGCAGCCTGAAGCACTTGCTGGGTAAACACAGTTTTTCAAGTTTTTAATTTTGTTTATGTCTCCTATGGCAAGTGAAGAGCACCTTGCCTGCCTGAATTCCAAGTAGACCTCAATATACATGGATCTACACTATGGAAACTGGCAATTTCCATTCATTTAAATCTTTCTTTCAAAGGAAAGCTCACACAAAAGTCCAACAGATGAGACAAGAGGAGCATTCTGGTTGGAACTGGTTGAGGGGCTGAAGAACGTTTTCCATTTGAAAGTTTGAAATCCAGTTTGCTTGATCTTAAAACATTCCTAAACCCTTCAACTATCACTCAGACTTTATAAATAGAAATGGAATCACCTGGCGGCAAAAGGGTACCTTGTCATTTATTCTTCATTCTATTACATAATTGCAGATAAAAGAAAGAGCCAAGAATCAAGCTTATACAATTGTGGGAACCAACTTCTTGTTTCTGTCTCAGCTTCTCATGCACCACACTTTTTTCTAACCAACACGCTTTTAACACTGGCAGCTTTAGTAATTTGTTTTCATTAAATTGGTCCTCTGTCATCAAAAACAAATGCTTGAGACTTTATGAAAACAACCAGTTACTGCAATTGTGTAGAAATAAGACACTGAATAGAAATAGAAATGCTTATATTGGTTTTTGCATGTATGTTCTGCCTTCCATTACAGGAGCGAGGAAGTAGAATATGATGAAATTTTGAGTAGAAAAACCTGGGTTCAAATTATCTTTCTGCCAGTTACTAACTGTATGACCTTGGACAAGTCCTTTAATTTCTGGGTCCCCTACTCCCACCTGGCAGAGCTGGTGGGAGGACAAAATGAGAACACATGGAGGTTATCCAGTCCAGAGCAGGTACCCAATAAAGGCAAATATTCTTGCTTCTTAAAAAATATTTTATAACCAGGTTAAAACAGTGAAATGTATTTTCAGTACAGTGTTTTATGATTCACTGTGGGAAAACACTGGTTTCTGGTTTTAAAGCCTTCATGTAGCTTAGCCCAGAAAGATTAATTAGGGCTTAAAAGCCCACCACTGTCTTAAGTTCTGGGTGACAAAATGAAGTGCAAGGCAATAAGGTGATGGAGGATTATGAGGCAGAGACCCTTACAATGCTAAGTCCTAGCCCCCAACTGTTTATTCAGTTGTTTTCCTTCAAAAATGTTCAGCTATGATTGGCTGTTTGCTGAATGATTTTCATTTTGACTGTATTTGAAGAAATGTTTCTTTGAGTTTGTTTTTTAAAAAGTACTATTTCCACCACCACTCAGCCCCCAAATAGTTGATGCATCATTTACTTCTACTCAAATATTATACATCTCAAT